AAAAACCAAAAAAAAAAAAAAAAAGAGGCAAGAACTTTTGCTTGTTTGCTTGTTTGCCAAAGCCATTTCTATTCCAACAGGAGTGGACCCCTGTCCTATGACCACTTTAGAGGTGTCCTGCTTTGTGCTCCATGCAGACACACAGTGCGGTGGGGTGGGGGGCTGACATCAGGGTTCCTCACTCAGCACTGCTGGCATCTGAGACTGGGTGGGTCCCTGTGGGGGGGACCAGCCTGTGCTTGACGGGATGTGTCTCAGCATCTTTAGCTGCCATCCACGAGATGCCAGGAGCTCTCTCCTACAAAGGTCCCCCGCAGGGCACATTGTCTGGGCTTGAGAAGTTGATCTAGAACAGGGGCTCTTCGCCTTCCTCCTGCCGTGACCCTTTCACACAGTTCCTTCCTCATGCGGTGGTGACCCCCCCACCATAAAACTATTCTCAATGCTACCTCATCACTGTCATGCTGCTACTGTTATGAATCAGGCGACCCCTGTGAAAGGGTCATTCAACCCCCAAAGGGGTGTCGACCCCCAGGTTGAGAACCGCTGATCTAGAACATTCTAAACCCCCTGTGTCTGTCGGAGGGCCTGGCTAGAAACCAGAATACCTGGGCTCTCAGGTCACTTCCACTACGTTCTGTGGGCAGCGAGTGTGACTGCAGCGCCAACCGAAAACCAGGCTGGGGTCATCGAGGAGGTTCCGACTCACAGCGGCCCCACAGGACGGGGTAGAACTGTCTGCAGCCCTCCCCAGCCCCTTCTGTAGGAAAGGAAGCCGGGAGGGGGACGGTTTCCATCAGCCATGTTGTAACACACCATACAGGCACAGGGGACACGGGGCAAAGGCCACTGCTTTCATGTGTCCGACCCCACCGTCCCTGTCCTGAGCCACCACCGGCCTCGGGCGGCCTCCCGAAGACAACGCGGCTGACGGAAACCGTCCCCCTGCCGGCTTCCTTTCCTACAGAAGGGGCTGGGGAGAGCTGCAACCAGTCCGTCCAATATAAACACTCTCTCCCCTGTCTCCTCCTCCGTGAGGCACTTCCTGCCGCCGGGGTCATCGCAAGGTGACTGTGTTCCCACAGCAGGGCAGGATGGCGCTGAGTTGAAGGTGGCTGGGCTGGGGCGGGAGGCGGGGTTTTATCTTTTTCCACCGAGGTCGGACCCTGGCGCCTCTTCAAAGGCCTTTTGGACAGAAGCATTAGGACCTGGTATGCCCACACCACCCCCACCACCCCCAGCATCATCACTCCACGCGAGGAGCATCAGAGGGTGCAAGGGGACAGAAACAGAAGAGGCCACCCAGAAGGACACAGGGCCAGACACCAGCTTCCTGCATCTCTGCTACAGCACCAGGCTGGGGGAGGAGATCTGTGGGTCTCAGGGGCCAACCCCATGGAACAGGAGTTCACCCACGTCGAAAACGGGTGGCTGAGAGGGACAGCTGAGAGCAAGGCCACACACTGGCTGCCAACGGCCTCTTGACCAACCCCAGACCAGGTATATATATACCTGAGCTAGCTTCCTGGCCCAAACCCAGAGCGGGTGTACACCTGAGCGAGCTTCCTCGAACCAGGTCCCTGCACTGCTGCTGTTCTCAGCGGGCGGGTTTTATAATGACATCAGTTCCCGGAACCTTAGCCTCCACACAACTGGCAGTGGGGCAGCTGAGGCTTTGCTGTCCAAGGAAGGGTGTTGGGCAGTGTCCATGGCCTCGACCCACCAGATGCCAGTGGCAACTCCCTCCCCCCACAGTGACAAGCCGAAAAGTCTCCAGACCCTGCCACATGCCCCTGGGGGCCAGATCTCTGTGAGCAGCACCAGTGGGGTGAGAAGAGGAGGGAGCTTTACTCCAAGTGGAGACCTGGTCCAGAAGCCCTGAGGCTCATTCCCACCGGCCCAAGCCCCGGACAAC